CTGTGCAGTCTCCCCACTCCAGATCCCTCCCATTGCCCCAGAGGGCCTGTGCCTGTGACATGCAGCCTCCCCGCGAGGGCCCGGGAGCACAAGGCTGTTTGTACAAAAGCTGACCACGAAGCTAAGAGCTGAAAGGACCTTAGAAATTGTTTACAGTCGGCTCTTCCAGAAAAGCACATATACCCAGTTCATTGATAGTAAAGGAATAAAAAAAAAGGGTCACAAACCCATAAAGACAAAGAGACGAGCACTAAAGATGACAGTACCTCTGCAGAATGGTCTAAGGGTCAAGGACACACTGTATGTGAAAGATCCTGGCACTTTGGCTTAATAAATGATCTTTGTCACGACCAGCAATTGTGAATAGTGCAGTCTCAGAGTTTCAGTGCACTGCAAAGTAGCAGTCACCTGGATTCTCAAGGGCAAACAAAAATATTTATTTATTTATTATTTTTGTAGAAACTTAGGAAATGGGGCTGACTGTCCGGTTGCTTTTTAAGAGATTTTTTCAGCCAGGTCTTTTTCAATGTTTTCATGCCGAATACCCAAAGTATCGTTGGTCAGTAACCGTGATGTCAAGTGGGGTTTTAAGAGTTAAATGAGGTAAACATGAAAAAAATAAAATAAAATAAAAAGTTTCCCTTCCTATAGGGACGAGACAGTCAAAACTTGGCAAGAGAGGGAAAAACAGAAAGTGAAAGAGAATAAGTGAAAGCAAAAGAGAAAAAGAAGGGAACGCAGACTGCTAAGGGCTGAAAGAAGCCGGGGAGCCGGGAAAGAGGTGGGGCGCGGGGCAGCTCCTCAGCGCACTGCGACGCCCCTCCCCCCACCCCTCCGCTCTCACCCACCCCAGGTCTTCCTTCCCTAACGTCAGAACCCAGGTGTGTGTGTGGTGGGGGGGCCCCCACACCCTAACCACCGAGCAGGCGTCCTCCATGCCCCCCGTCTGGGCCCGGGGACCTGGGGACGTTTTTCACTGGAAGTCATCTAAGCCACGGGTTTCTCACCCTTGGAGGTCATGTTTCTCCGGGCCGGGTGGTGGAGAGGATGGCATGCAGAGATCAGCCCAGAAAAGCGCTCAGTAAGAGTCTGTCACTCACTACCTGTGATTTCTTTTGAGTGCCTTCATTTGCCCAAAATAGGCTTTTTTTTAAGTTTGTTTACAAGTCCTGTTTGAAGTGCGATTTTAGGATAAGCTCTCCTGCTCTAAATATCTCTCTACCTATGAGAAAAGGCCCTGGGTGAGGTGTGCGGGGAGACCTACAGATGCTGACACCCAAGTCCACGGAGTTCCTGATTCAGAGGAAGCCAGGTCCCCGCCCAGACTCCCTGCATGAAATCAAAGCAGCCAGCCTGCCTCCCGACCCTCTCCACAGAGCCTCTTTCAAACACAGATGCTCGGCCGAGGTTTATACAGAAAGAGAAAGAGATCATAGCAGAAGGAAAATAAGGAATTCTGAAGAAACCTGGCCAATGCAAGGAAAAACGTCTGAAGAACTTGTCTTGAAACTTCAGAAGAGAGGACAGAAAATAGTGACATAGCAAGGGCCTTTCTAAATGAAAATTCAGGGAATAAGAAGGACTTTTTGGCAGTGAAAAAAAAACATAACAAAAATGAAAAACAAATCCAATTAAAGAATTGGAAAATAAAGTTCAGGAAATCTGGAGCGTAGAACAGAAAAACAAGGACATGGAAAGTATCCCCCCCTCCCCCCGAAAAAAATAGTAAGAAAAATAAAGGTTCCTAGCGTAGAACAGAAAAACAAGGACATGGAAAGTACACCGCCCCCCACCCCAAAAAAATAGTAAGAAAAATAAAGCTTCCATTCAGGAAGTCTGAAATCCAATTAGCAGGGGTGCCAGAAAGAGAACAGAGAATTCCCAAAGAAGTTACACTAAAAAGTCCCTGAATTAAAGATGAGAGTCTAGTTGAGGAGGGTCTGTGTGTAGTCAGAGTGACGTATAAAAAGGGCCCCCACCAAGCCACACTGATCAGCAAGGATCGGGAAAACCCCTAAAAGTTTCTAGAGAAGAGGGAAGAAAAAAAATCACATTCAAAGAATCAAGAATTAGAATGGCATCTGATCTCTTCAAGCAGTTCTAGAAACTTAAGGACGGAAGCGACGTCTTCAAAACTCTGTAGGAAACGCATTTCCAGCCCAGAATCCCAAACCCAGCCAGGCTGCCAACGACGTGTGGAGATGGACCCAAGACATCTGGGGACAACTCGCAAGATCTCAGCTCACCCCCTCGTCACTCTTTCTGGGGACAGTCCCGGAAGGTGAGTCCCATTGAAATGAGGGAATTAGATCAGGAAAGAGGGAGATGCAGTTTAAGACGCTGTCTGAGGTTTCTCCACTAAGTGACATTTCTAGAGAGTTCTGGAATGCTGCTTTAAGGCAGAAACAAATGTGATTTGAGAAGACTTTGGGGAAGTTTATTTCTCAGCCAGGGCACTGATCACCTAGCTCTCTTAAGGTGCTTTCAATACAATGGTATGTTTTAAAAATCCATAACTCTGCAGACGCAACAGAAGGATGAACTTGGATATATAGGTTCCCAGGCACCGGGTGCCCATGACTGCAGACCGACATCCCGAAACTGGGCCAGCACTCCAGGTGATCCTACACACCAAGGAGAGACAAACCTGCCTGACAAGAAGGGCGGGAACCTTTTAGTGTAAAACAAGAAGCAACTGAAAAGACTAAAAACCCCATCCGGGTTTAAGCCTCAGCTTTGCTTTTTTCCAGCTGTGTGAACTCAGTGTCACCTTAATTATCAAAAGCGATGACTGTCTAGCAGCTGTCCCAGGGCTTGCAGCTGGCGCCCTAGCAGCTCAGTGGCTCCCGTCACAGCAAAGGAGCAGCCTCTGCTTTTCCTCTCTCCATCCCATCTGAATACCAGTAGGTGGCTGTGAACTGTGTTTAGAGTTCTCGGCTAAGGGTAACTAACTGCAGGCCAGCAACAGATCACTTTGCTTAGAGACCAAAGTCCCTAAGGCACCCTTTCGCCTTCTGCCAGCCTTGCACTTCCAAGTGAGGAGCTCTTGAGGACGGATGCTGAATACGGGGTCCCTCTTTCAGTTTTGCAAATAGACACTTACCTTTCGTCAATAACAAGCTGGATTACATTTGCTAAGTTATAAATATCACATTCGCTTTAGGATGTGACGTCCTAAATTCTTTGTACTTATGGATAAGGCCATACTGTAAGACTCTGAAATCTTTACCTCTGTGAGGTGTTACATTAAAAAAAAAAAAAAAAAAAGGAAAATCTACATGCTTTGGTTGGAGTACATCACACATACAGAATTTGAGGTCAGAATGTTTAAAATAGCCCGTGATGTACTTCTGTTGGTGTAGCAGTGTTTTTTTGGATTCGACACATTCAGCTGATTCATTAGCATTGAAAATGAAAATGTCAGGACATATCTTGGAGAAATATATTAAAACAAAGTCAAAAATATCCATGACCCCAAGAAGCTGCATCCATCCATTAGTTAAGAATGTGTTTTACTTCTAAAGACACATTCCTTAAACTACGCAAAACAAAACAAAACAAAAACATGCTCAGAAATTATGCTGTGCTATTGAGTATTCTACAGGAATAAAAATATTCAAATATGTGTTTAAATAGGCTTCCACGGTTAGCTAGTCATTGCTTATTTAATTGAGCCAAAGATAGATCACACCGGCAGGGTCAAAGTCTTGTGTCTGCCTGGGGTGGAGTGCCAAGTAAAAAACATGTCTATTAAATGCCTTTAAAGGATCATATTGAAGGTAGCTCTTTTGCAAAATAAATTAAATGACTTTGCCTTGCCATGACTGAAATTCCTCTTAAGCTAAATGTACACTCAAGAGACTTCTCACTTTGATTCCTACTACTGTTTTTACCTGTGTAAACATACTTCAGATTTTGTTTTCTTCCCAGGCTTTCAAAGCTCATTTTATTCATCATAATATTACTTCATAGGCAGGAAAGTTTGCTTTCCCAAAGAATGTCCCTTTGTCCCCCAAGAATGAAATGAATTCATTTCAAATTCTTGGCGAGTCCAAATGATAAGAAAATTCAGTGAAGAACCGAGATTGCAGTGTTTACACAGTGTGACATAATATCACAAGGGCACACACATCCTCCTTCTGGAGCTGATTCTTTCTGTCACACTGGGGTGTATGTGTAGGATGCTAACGACAGTGCCAGGGCTGCCCAGGGAATGGTCTCGCATGGGCATCTTCTGGGTTCTTCTCTCACTTGGCCATGACCACGCACCCCACCCCCACCCTCGTGGCCCCGCATCTCCCCCAAGGTGCTTAACGCTCTGGCGGGTCTACAGTTCTGAAGTCCCGCTACTGTCGCGTCACAATGATGACCAGCCCTGCATGCGCTGGCCAGGGAAAAGGGCTGGGCCACAGAAACCACGTCCGAATGCACCGGATCACCGGACCCGCTCCTTTAAGGACATGGCCATTCAACCTGGGCCCACCAAAACGCCCCTGACCTCTTCGGTCTCCAAGAGCCGGCAAGGGAGGTCCTCTTTTGCCAGACCCGTGTTCCCTGTACCCAGACCCCGAGCTGCGCCCTCCAGGGTGCCCCGCACGTACCCACGTCGCCCAGGAAGCGGCCGTCGGCTGTCCCGGGCTCCATGCCGCTGGCTGCCACGCGCCTCCCGCTCCGCGTCCCTGCGACTCTCGGTGCCGGGGACAAGGGCGGGGGACCGCGCGGCCAGCCGGGCTGG